TCTTACGGCTAATGTAAAGAGATTTTGCTTGCTTACAGACCATTTTAAATATTTTTGCATATTTGGACACATGCTTGCTAAAGGCTTCGCTTGTATTAAATGGTTTCATACCATATAGTTCAAATAACTTTCCCCTACTTCTACGAATACCGGGGGTAGCCCAGTCACAAAATACAAATTTACATTCAATGATTTTACGTTTTAAGGGGAATAATTTATCAAATTGGGTTTTAATAATGGCCAGTAAGTTGGCATAAATCTCACTTGGACCTTCATAATCATGTGATGGGCTGCATAATATTTGCTTTAAATTATTATTTAATGACTCAACTTTTTTATCCGTGATATGTCTAAACATTATTTCCTTTTTTGGCACCTTTGTGATGTTGTTTAAGTTTATTGTTAACCCACTGTGATCTGATGGTAAGCTATTAACAATATTTTTGTGCAAATAATCACAGTTACAAAATATATTATCTATACATGTAGCCGAGGTGGATGTTACTCGGGTGGGCTCAAGGAATATCCATTTTCCCTCCCAGGGATGCCATCCATTTTTTTATAAATCGAATTATTCTATTTTTGATATTCAATTTTTTGTACTTGTTACTAGATCCAATTTTGAAAATCAGTTTGATGAACTCGGTCAGTCGGCTTAGGAACAGAGAATAGGCCATTTACGTTTATCCTAAATCCGAAAAATAATAGCAGCAACAGATATCCCAAGAACACACGATCTTCTTCCTCGCCGTATATTAGTGCCTGTCTAAATAATCTTAGAATGTACAACATATTTATTACCTACTCTCGTCTACAAGGATTGACCGTCTCAACCTCCGGGCCCATCGATAACATATCGATTATATTTTATTTACAGTGTAACTTAACAAGTACAATTAATTCCACTTTAGATATAACAACCTTAAAATAAACATACTCTCATTTACCCTTTTCCTTTCGTGGAAAATAATTAAATTCGCAAAAGCTTTACTGCATCTCATTTTCAGCTTTGTCGAAAATTTAATGTTCCGTAGCATTCGACTACAAACAATATTAAATTCCACATGTATCACGCACCGGATTATATTAAAAAAAATATTCGTTCATATGATTTTTTGGCCTTGCTTTATTGAAGGTAAATTGGCACAGTCACAGTCAGAAAGCCTCCGTCCAAAGCAAATATCTTGATGTTTAAATATGTGTTTTGTCAGGGGAAAATCATCACATGACTTCTCCCGCCCAGACAGAGGCGAGAATAAGTATCACTCGCGCTTACGGTGCCTCCGCATGCCTTTTGGTATTCGGAGTTTAGGAGATTTAGAGATCGAGGAGAGATGGGGAAGGAAAGGTTTGGGTCTACGGTAACCACACTCACACGTCATAGCAACCATAGGCCGTGGTACTCCAGTCGATTCGATCAATCCTTTGTTCTCCCATATTATCATTTATTTCCACTAAACTATATTACTACATTAAGAATGTCAAAAACTGTATACTCACAGAGTCACATCTAGAGCATACTCATCTGTGCTCCATTTTCATTTTCGCAGCGTCGTCGTGGGGTGTCGCGACAAAATTGCTTTACAATATAATTACAGAGAACTATTGTTCAGGAATCCAGTGGTTGCGCTTCGATTTACATTCGAAATGAGACAAAATTTGTACAAATTGTTCGACTAGTTTCACTAGTGATTTTAATTATTCTATTTCTTGTTGCATTTTGAATATTTTAGCTAGTAAAACTTTATAGATGTTTTATATTTGAAATTTACTTTAGATAGAATACATTGAGAATCTTAAACACAATTAAAGAGGTTGATTTATATGTATGACTAATTAAATATATTGTTAGTTAAAGTATTTAATTCTAGCTTATCCTACGCAGTTTCGGCGGATGTTTTATGTTTTATAGCTTCATAGATAGACGGACTATCCAACACAAAATTAATTGTTCAATTGGACCTGTCGCCGTAGATAAGCAAGTTCAAACAAACAAACTCTTCCTGCATTCAAATATTAAGTATAGGCGTTCAATTTGACAATTGACCACTACATATAGTGGCCACTTGGGCCAAGGGCGATCTTTAGCCAGGGTTCCTGGTTAATCGCAATAGGGTATCGCGTCGTCGGCCTAGAGGAGGAGAAGGAACGGGGGATTTTTAGTCAGTAAGAGTCTGACTCTGTCTCTGTCTCGTAAAAGCGGGAATTGTATATACATCTAAGGCGAAAATCACCCAGGGTATGGGCGTGAGAAGACATATGATGATTTCCCGTCACATAAAAAGCGATTTTCATATTTCTACCAATAAGTTAACTGGTAAAAACTGTAACAACTGTACGGTAACGTAAAACGTAGGTACTATTTTCAATTCGAAGAATAACATTCGTGATTTATAATGCTACTTTATGTTTCATATCACATATACATGCATTTAAATCGAAAATTATCGAATGTGAATTTAGCACAAATGTTCTAAATTTACATCGAATATTTTGTTTCTTATCGTCGTTTCTCAAGAGCGAGGTGACTCGGTTCCATAAACTAAATCGTAACATCGAGTGAAAGTGTTCCATTCCACAAACAGAGTTGTCATTGAGAAATCCGCAAAATCCGATTATGCTAATATAGATCTAGGTAATTACCATAAACCTATTCGCAGCCTGTCGCAAAATAAACTGATATTACCATACGTCGTAGCTCTATTACTGTTTGAAAAATATTTTCTCAATGCCTTTTTTGATGTTAAAATGTGCATAATCCTTCACCCGTCACAACCCTCTATTTAAGTAATACTTTTCTGGTGATGTTGAAACAGAGTTACATGGATCGGTCCTTCCCTCATCATTGATTGCGGTGATCGTGTAACGATCTTCGATCACCTTAATCGAGTGTTTGCGGACAACGAGTGTGGGAGAGCCATGCTTCAGCACGAATGCGTCGGCTCGACCGGAGTGATACCATGGCCTCACAGAAAACCGGCGTGAAACAACCACAGAGTTGTGTTTCACCGTGTGAGTTAGAGGTTATAGGTTAAGTCCAATTCTTGCCCTCCCCAATCCCTAAATCGCCAAATCCGTAATCCCCAAAAGGTCGGCAACGCACTCGTAACTCCTCTGTTGTTGCGGGTGTCCATGGGCGGCGCTGATTGCTTACCATCAGGTAATCCGTATGCTCGTTTGCCGACCTATAAGATAAAAAAAAGACGAGCAAGGGTAGCTCGACACACAACCAGAATAAGACCCAAGCGTAAGGCGCGCAGCGTACTGCGCGCGCCTTAAAGACTGGGCCCAGCAGGGCTAAAATTCTGCCAGGGTTGAGGAGCAAGTGCAATAAGGTACCGTCCGGAGCAGTAGAAACAGGTCGATTTTTAGTCAGTAAGAATCTGACACTCCCTCTCGCTTCACCCAGGGCAAGAAAAACTATTATTTTCTGTTCGGATTTCAAAAACTCTGCATTCAGACTTATGACCGCCAAACCTACAAAGTAACAAACGAAACTAACCCACCGAAACATTATGAGGTAATCACTATAATTTTATACACTTCACTTAGAGCAAATCGGCTGCATTATTCCAGTAACATCTTTTAAAAGGAGAATAGTTTCTTACACATAATTTCTTTTAAACCTTGTAATTTATGTTTATGGAGGTAGAAGAATTACGTCATCGCGTAATGGTAGATCATCATCATTAAAAACCTTTCTCTGTTGGATTACGGTAATAAAAGGTCGTGATGTAATGCTGTGATAATCAGCAGACCATTGGCCACTTGGTTGATGTTTCTAGTTCACTTTGTGATTTTAGTAGCTTCTACTAGTAGCACTGCACTTAACAGTATTGGTTATCTTAACAAAAGGTCTTTGTGCTATTCGAGAATATCAATCTGTGTGCCGTAGTTCGTTCGGACCCGCTCAACCATTTGTTTCAACCAACTGTTTTGGTGATTCGTTCACCTATATTTCTGACATCATAATCATCATCATCATCATAAGCCTATAAGTGCCCACTGCTGAGCAAAGGCCTCTTCTCATACGGAGAAGGTTAGAGCATTAATCACCACGCTTGCTCAATGCGGGTTGGCGATTTCAAACTTACAATTAGAAATTATAAGTCCAGGTTTCCTCACGATGTTTACCTTCACCGTATGTCAGTGGTGTCTAAATAATCATAGAAAGTACATATAACTCGGAAAAAGTCACATTGGTACATGCCAGGTTTCGAACCCACACCCTCATGCACGAGAAGCGGGCTCCTTAACCTTCGGGCCACCAGGACATCTGGTGATTCGCTCAACCTATATTTCTGATATATATAATCGAGTAACAATCATATAGGTTTTTTTATATTAGTATTTATCGGCCTACAAGTTTAGTGTCCACTGCTGAGTAAGGGCTTCTTCCCAAGCGGAGAAAGTTTGAGCATTCATCACCATGCGTGTTCAAAGCTTGGACTGATGATTTCAAACGTATTATTAGAAATTTATTTATTAAAATACTTTTTGCACAAGGGCTGATTTAAAGCCGATTTTCGACGTTTCAAAATTTTCCCTTACGTTGATGCAGACATAGGTCATGGTAGGTACAACAGCTATAAGAGCAAGAAGTTATGGTCAACACGTACTCAAAATATATAATGATGGAAGTGATTAGTCCAGGTTTCCTCGCGTTTGTTTCTTTTACAGTTTGTCAGTGTGAGTCTCCGAGTTCAGAGACAGAGACAAACACTATGCAACTGCATGTACTTTCTCTAAATACAATCCAAAAGTACAACTTACTTGATAATTGCCTGGTTTTCGACTTGTACCCTGAAGCGGGAGCCTTTAACTAGAGGTTAAGGCCAGGAGGTCATGACGACCTTAGTATAAAGAAACTATATCTTTATTATTGTTGTGTAGAGTTTGATAAAACATTTAAATGACTATATTTTTAAAGCATTTTATTCTGCCTATAATTTGATTACTGGTTACAAATATAAAGATTAAAAACACAACTTTGGTTTCACTAAAGATCTTTATTTCTTATAATACAAATAACATTATTTACAATATGTTTATTACATTATCGTTACAATATCTTATCGTTTAGTATTTTACACAGTACTGTGTCAGCTTCTAACCCACTGTTCTGTTCAATTTGCACCCAATTTTTTATTCATTAAGTGTCTTTTTCAAATGACACAATATTTAATTTTATTCATTCTCTCCCTTATTTACATCGAACATTCTCGACCTTTTAAATTTGCATACCGATTAAATTTTTCTCACAAATATTTTTTTTTCTTTTTAATATCAATTTTCACAGTGATATTCTATCCATCCGGCTAGTACCAATAATTTATAATATTGCGATCAAAATTAAAATAAATATTTAAACTAAGCAAATGAGGATAAGGAAGTAATAAAATTTTAGGGTAATTGGAGCTGAAATGAGTTTATAGGAGACCTACATTTTTTGTACAGAGCTAAAACAATAGAGCTGGCGTATTGTTCTGAACACTTATTGTGCATAGAAAGCCATACAGAAAACGTCGAAATAGGTTTTAATGACGTCAAATGATAATGAACCTACATTTTAGACGGAGGCTAGAAAGTTAATACCTGCTTCGTCTTTAAATATGTTAGTATTCAAACAAAATCTTATAGAACAGAATAATATTACAGTTATGTATAATGTTTATCTATTTACAACAAAAACTAATAAACAACCATTGGCACTACATGAATAACAATGTTCCTAGTTGTACATCTCTGTGAAGGATTTGGTTTCAACAATAAATCGATCGTTGCATCAACTACGTCTGTATTCATATTTATTTTAATAACCCTAATATAATTTGTATCAATTGTATATACACGGCACATATTTTGTTAAATATAACACTATTCAAACGAAAAATACGTCAGTGCTTTTAAATATTTACACAATACTTATCATAATAAAATAAGGTACTTCAAACCATTACATTTTAAAACAAGAGTTATACACAAACATAAAATACACAATTTTGTTTTGAATGAGCACTAAAACTTTTTATTTATACAGTAGTATAATGCAGCATTTATCTCGAGAATAAATTATTTAAATGAAATCGTCTACTTTTCATTATCTAGTGCAGCTAGATGAGAACGTAATGGGAAATGCAAGTTCTTTTATAGTCATTCAAAACAAAATTATCATGCATTCAAATACAATCGCTAACAATATAAGTTCATTTGCTAATTATTGTTTATGATAATCAACAGTTTCACTTCTATATTAAATCACTTTTCGCTTACTTTCTGTTCACAAGTAGGTACGTCGTTTCAATCACGTCAATCGTTGCTACAATCACAAGCCTTCGGGTCGCTTGCACACAACTCCCAATCAGGAACGTCGGTGCAGCCGCACTCAGATCGGGTTTGTCTAGTTTATTCCTACTAGAACGTTAAGTTCGTGTATTGGCTAATGCTTGATGCGTTATAAGTGTGCTAGTATGTCGATTTCTGAAGGCGGTTGTGTGTGTGTGTCATTGAGTGCGGGGGACCCAGACACGGTTACTATGACGGGTTGTGAGTCTGTGTGTACTATGGTGACGAGATGTTCGTCCGGGTCTTTTTCTTGTTCGGGTTTGGGTAATGCTTCGATAGTGTTGTCAACGTATTTGAGGTCTATGGGGGTGATGGTGGGCAGGTTGTCGTTGACAGTGACAGGCGGGTCTGCGCGGGGTGCGCGATACGACGGCGGCCCGCTGTACTCAGAACCGCACCACGCTGCGCCAGTTGATCCTCTGCTGGGAAATACAAAGCAATATTTAAATATAACATTGAATTTCACTCGTATCTGGACTTGGTATATAATTCTTGTTTCGATTCTCTACTATATGGATTTTCATCCAAGCTTTGATAAATTAATTTGATATTCAAAGCTCAAAGCAACACTGGCTTGTTATATTTTACATATGTATGTAGGTAACTAAGCTGTAAATGTTTAGAGTTGTAGTAACATCGTGGAAGTTGTTTTCTCATCTCAATGTAAATAGGATTGCCCCTTATTCCCTAACGTGAGTACCCAGTACTAGTAGATACTAGCTACGAACATCTGGCACGAAGCACTGTAACTAAACAGTAGTGTACATTCATTTCTAACTTCCTTTTTAAATGAAACATTTGAAAACCTATTTTAAAACGAATGTAATACAGTATATTTTGCCGTCAACATTTGATAAAAGATCGAGTATTTTCGTTTCAATAAGGAAAGACATTTTGAAGACAAAACAATCGGGCGATAGGTTTCAGATTGCAATTGTATTGACTTTGTTCGTACCTGACTAGACTGGCTGAATTTGATCTGTACGTTGGCGGAGGCGACACGGCGGGCGCACTTCTGTCTAACAGAAGTAACCTGGAATTAAAGGAAATTGTTATTTTCACAGAAATGAGTAAATCGTTCGATGTACCTGAGGATTTGTTTGCCTTGTTAGTAAGCGTTTAGGTGATAAATGTGAAATCTGTTTATTTATTTATTTTCTAACAATAACAACTATTATAACAGATAATTAATCCAACTCGATAGTGTAGCCATCAGTCTAACAAAATATAATAATGAGAACTTATATACTAATTATTTTAAAGGAGATTAAGCATTCATGGATTCGCTTTTTGAAGCGTATGGTCACTTAAGCAAATATATAATTAATGTTATTATTTAAAACTCTCTGACCCAGCGATCGTCGTACCGCCTAATTTAATTATACCTTCGGACCTTTTAAACTTGGACCCTGAACCACAACGAAAATTTTAAGACCAAATTATCCAAAACGGACCAACCGTTCTCGAGTTAGAGCGCGACTAACAAACAAAAATACATTTTAATATAAGTATAAGAAGATAAGATTTGTTTTATAATAATATAAGATAAATTATTTTAAAATACAAAATAATTTGAAATAAGCAGTGGAATTTAAATGATTTGATTTTAAATGTCTAATTCGTAAATTATACATTTGAATTTCAAATTTACTTTTAACGAATATTGATAACAGTGTCAACAAAACAGTTTATCAGGAAACTGTCACGCAATGTTATAAATAAAATTAGATTAGGTTTTTTCCAAACTAAACGGGTTTTTTTGTAAGTGCTTTTAATAAAAGCTTTCTCTTTTGATGCCAACTTGTATTACCTTAATATACTGTTATAAACTTGGCTAAGAGTTCGAATTAGATACTTGATATGTTCCAAGAAACAAGACACGTGTATGGGCCTACGACACCAATGTGCCTGAATTAATATCTCGAATCTCGTCATCATGGTTACAAAAGTCATAAGTCAATTTATATAAAGCAATAAATCCCAGCATCCCAGGTTAACTTAGCCATACACTTAGCTCCTCCAACCCCACAGGACACCAGTTTCCAAAAGGGAAGATAAATAACACAAACCTAAATCTATATTCTTGCATTGAGGCCTGACAGCTTACAGGTCTTATAGCGGAGTTAGGACTGCCTTCAAAGTTTCTTCTATTTGGCCTTCTAGGACACCAAGCCTCGTTACTATGAAATTAAAAGGAGATTTTATACATACCCCGTATTTGGGAGATTAGATGGCCCAAGTCTTGGAGACCTGGATGAAAATGTATAGTAATGTTGTTACTACGAACCTGAGTCTGTATTCTTGCATTGAAGCTTGATAGGTGGGGGGTGGCGGCCTATAGTGGAACTCTGGATAGAGCATGGCTGCGTAAGGGTGGTGTGGTCGTGCGTAGCTTGGTGGTAGTCGAGGCACGAGCCGCCGGCATGAGGCGCGGCGCAGCCCTAGCAACGCACAAGGAGCGTCTCTTGCGCCCAGTCTCCAGGCTAATCCAGCTGCTGTCACTAACACTACTCCTATACCTGGAAGTAAAATTCGGTATTAATAATCATCAATATTCATTAAGTAAAACTTTGCCTACGCCTACTTACCAGAAGATTCTATATGACAATGGCATGTCATGTAATGCTATACCAACACAAACTAACATAACATGGCCAATACAATATACAATACACAACCGTATTGACATCAAAATTAATTCATCTAGAATCTAGACATAATGACTTGACCTTTAGGCTGAAAACTGCATAACACTTATGCAACATGTATAGAGATGTAATCAGGTTAAATATCTGGGTTTGAAAAGTAGCTCTTACTGTTGCGTAATGGTGTTTTGTGCGATTAGAGAGACACATTAACATTGTGAATACATTTTGTTTAATTGACAGCTGTCACGTAAAGAAATCTGTGTCAAAAGCTTTCTATGGCTAAGTCAGGGAATTCATTTGTACATCATCATCAACAGCATTCAGCCGGGGTTGCGGGGTAAGCGCAATGAGGCACCGCGACCTCGGCACAGAGCAGGAGAAGGAACAGGGGGGTATTTAGTCAGTAAGAGTCTGACACTCCCTCCTGCCCGGCCCTGGGCGGGAGAAGTCATTTGATGATTTTCCCCTCACAAAAAAATCATCAACAGCATTCAGCTAAGTGCGGCTTGCACTTAGCTGGCTTATGGTTTCTTAAAAAGTAAAATTTGGGTGTGTGTAAATCTCTATGCCTGTTAGAACGGAGTTTTTTTTTAGCGCGGCAAAGATCCCCTTAGGTGGTGTGCAAATATCTGACGCTTCATAATATAATCTATCTCTGACATTCAAGCCCATTCTGTAGTTTATAAGTAAAATATTAACAAATATCCTTCCACATCTATAAACGTTCGGGTGTATGAGTTGGATCTGCTAACAGAAATTACCATCATCACTTCCTAATTGTCAATTGTTTTACCATTTAATCCTTGACATCATCAGATATTTTGAGTTTGATAGCTCTTATGCTAGTGTGAGAATTTTTCATATTTTATTTTTGCAGTGGCAATTCAATACCTATTATTGTTTGCCATTTTGTAATGGCGGCATAGGGATTAGGTACTTTATAATTACGAGGACGGCCATTTTTATCGAGAAACTCTTCCTATAAAGCCGTTTTATTTTTCTCTATTTCCTGATTAAATGTAGGGCATGTCAGCTTCATAATTAAAACTACATTACTTAAAATTATATTAACACTAAATGATATAATCATACTATAATCATAATAGAATTTGAAATTAATTACTAATTTTAATAATTACCTATTACGCATATCAATGGAATAGAAATATTCATAAACGCGCCATCTGTCACCGTGACGTTGGATATTATGATAGATAATATATCTGTCAGAAATTTGCCACAGATAATAACAGCAACCGGCGCTTCAACAACTGTTGTTAATTACTTTCGTGCTCGCGATCACGAACAATATGTTCCGGTGTAATCCGAGCTTGCCACTGACTTTGTATGTACTGGGGAGAATTTCGTTAATTTTAATAAATAAAAATATGGGTATTAAATATGAAATTATGGAAGAAATAAACATTAAGCCAAGGGATTGGAAGCTAAGGACTAAGATAGTAGGGACTTTATATTTGGTTCAAAAGTCATCACAAACTTTCCAGTGAATGTAAGTTAAATTTTTATCCTCTTAGAATTAAAAATCGATTAAGATAACTTTAATAAAGTCCGTCATTGTCTTTCCACATGTAAACGTGTTTCTGTATATTATTTTTTGTTTTATTGAGACAAAATAATTTCAGTAAACAAACAATAACTACAGTAAATATGTAAACAAAGTAGGTACGTATATTAAGATAAATATTATAATTATTTACTACTGCTGTTTTTTTTCTTATATGTAATTATTTAATTAATAAACGGCTTCCGATAACCAACTACAGCAGACACAGTGCAGACGCGAAGTTCGTGGATCGCTCTGAGTGACGCGTACAAATTGCTCTAGCGGCACAACAATAGATCGGTTCCCTGTAACAATATCATCTGTCCCTAACGCTAATGAAAATCCAATTAATTCCACTCTAAAACTCATTAGAAGTTTAATTGAAAAGTCCAACGGCGATGAAAATGATGTAATGAGATTTTGGCCCGACTTGGTATTGTCATATGCATGGCGAATAACAAATGAGCAACCGCAGATTGTTTCATGGTTAATTACATCAGTTATTTCGGCCGTGTGAAACCTTTTTAGTCAAATTTATTAATATTAGAGTATGGATATAAAATTTAATAGGTATACTTCTGCAGGCTTGAGTCTCGTTTCTCTACAGCTTTCGATCGGTATGCTCGCTCATTGGACTGGATAATTTTAATCAGCCATAAAGAAAAAAAAACTAACTTCTACCATGAAATGGGTTGTGAACTGTTAAACGATCAAAGAATGAATATAAAGAGTCCTTCGAATCAGCGAATAGAATGGTGCAGTGTTTTTCGAGAAAAAGGATAAAAGAAGGTTCATGCAGCTCAGCAATTTCAATTCTACATTTCTAATTAGCAAAATGTTTCATAATATTTCAAACTCTCATATGTGTAAAGAATAAAAAAAAAATGCTAGGTTCACTTATTGAATCTTGTAGTCACGAAAAACATAATTTTATTGTACACTAGCGTTTGCCCGCGACTCCGTTCGCGTGGAATAGTGACTTCCTGCAGAGTTTTGTTATAAAAACTACCCTATGTCGTTTCTCGAGTTCCAAACTATGTCTGTACCAAATTTCACAGAAATCGGTCCAGTTGTTTTAGGCGTGAAGAAAAGACAGACAGATAGACTGACAGAGCTACTGTCGCATTTATAATATTAGTTTGGATTTGGATTACCTATTTATTTTGAAGTAAAAAATAAGAAAAACTTACCTATCATAAGTAGGAGTAATGTGAGTGGGGCCCGGGGATGAGGCCTGAGAGCGCCCAGTACCGCTCCAGCGGCCACCAAGCAGGCTCCTACCACGCCGAGGAACAGCACACACAGTCGAAGAGGGGGCCGACCACAACACGACTTGGGCGCGTTACCTTCACCCTCAGAACAGGCATACGCTGCGCCTCTGCCCGATCTGCAAAGAAAAAAAAGTTATTAAATATGGTGGTTTTTTCTATCACGTTAATTGCGTCGGTAAGGTGACAATGGGATGAAAAGGTTCTATAAATATTGTTTTCTCATTCAAATTACCAGGTAAAGTACAATGTTTTATGATTTTTGTTTTCCAAATACACATTAGAAAGTTATAATTACACGAGGTGACAGACAATAGCGTTGTAATGCTATCTTCATAATGCTAAGCCCCACGTTCAGTCATATAAAACTTTTTTACGTACCTACAACAAAACCGCTCATTTATATTTTATGTACTGCAAAAAGTCACATTAAATAGCGCCTTGCATATTCAGACCCTTTTTTATGAGTTTTTCGTTTATTTCAGCTAAAAAGTTACAAAATCAGGGCGGCTGAGGTATAATTCTTATGGAGAAAAGTGTTTTTAGCATACATAGCGGTCGCCATAAAAATTAATTACGGGGAAACTTGGTTTTTCGTAATGGCTCCGAGGCAAGGTGACATTTAATCTTTGCAAAAAAATTTAACTATGTTGTTAAAGTAATGTTGGAATAAAGTAGAAAACATTCGCTAAGAAAACACATTTTCAGTTTTATGGCATCGGCGTCGTGGACTTTAAGAAAGTAGCTAGTGACGAAATCTTGGCGTCGGAACTTTATTATGGGCGTATATTAAAACGCCGGCTTCCCTTAATATCTTTCTTGAGGCTACATTTATTCCAACAATAAGAAAATTTACTGTTTAATAACGACAATGCGGATATTTTTACTACTATAAAATAGTGGCGGCTCGTTAAAACTTTGATGCGAAAAAGAGTACATTTTTGTTAAGAAGTAGGTAGTTAATGGCACATTTTAATTGTTTGTATCTTATTTAAATATTAATTTAATAATACTGAGTAATCGTTCATTTAAAAAGTTATTGAATTACTTAAATTACATCGATAGTGACGTTCTAGTTACATAAGAAAGTATATAGTAGGTATAAGTTAAATCAAATCTATTCTTAAAAAACTTTACAAACTTGGTAAGCAGTCGATTTAAAGGACAAAAATCTTATTAAAATCTTGGAAAGTGGAGTGAAACAAAAAAAAAACTCAAACGATGTTTTATGCAAACAGCCCATGGCTATACAGGGTGTGGTATTTCTACAGTGATATTGTTCGCTCGGCTACACGAGCTCTGTTCCGTGGCGGCTTCTAAATAACCCTATTATTGCTCATTCAACGTTTGTGCAGCCTTTATCTTCTAGTTAACGCAGCGACGGAACGTTCCTATACCCTGCTATACTGTAGACATTGCTTTTCTTCTGCGTAGTGTTGTGCAAGCATTTCTTAATACATAGATATCCCTATATGTATTTTTTGTAGTTAGAGTTCCCCAAAAACAAAATAAAATGACAAAAGAATCTTACTAATGTTATAAATGCGAAAGTTACTATGTTTGGATGTTTGTTATTCAATCACGCCGAAACGGCTGGACGGATCTCGATGAAGTTTGGCACAGGCATAGGATATACTCCGGAATATGACATTGGCTACTTTTTATCAACATACCACGGGTGAAAGCTCAACACTAGCTTTCACCCAACTAAAATAATTTGTTGGGTGCAAATTATGTATCGAATTTTCCTTCATTAATGTTCACAAATAAGTTGTTTTTGAGATTTTCCTATTCTAGCGTCATCTTTATATTATAAGGTACTAGCGACTCGCCCCGGCTTCAAAGTGCAATGCTGATACTTACTTTACCCACAATTTAATAGATGTTACTATACATATAAACGTTCCTTTCCTAACTTTCAATCGTTATTTACTTTCTATGTAATAAAAAAATCGCATCGCAAGTCCGTTGTTTAGTTTTAAAGATTTAAGCAAATGTACATACGGTTATAGGGGCAAAAAAGCAACTTCGTTTTATACTACGTAGTGATGTGAGTATTTTTTTTTATCAAATCCTATTTCTTTGATGAAAATTATCTATTTAAGTATAATAAGGAACAGTTGGATTTTCATTAGCCATTACATCACTAAACAGTACCTACGTTGGTTGTCGTAAACGCAGCGAGTGACTCGCGTCGTTTTGCATAATGCATGCAGTAACAGTGTTCTCATATGATATGAGGCTTACTGACTTAAAACCATTAAACCACTGACTCCACTCCCTATTTAAGATCAAATTAGTTGACGCTTTTTAGTTCGAAACTTAAACTAAATAAATTTGAAAATTAAATAGTTTATGAAAATTGATTTTTTTTCTGAGTTGTAGTTTCATATACAAATACCTTATTATTCGTTTTAACTTACTTACATTTTTATTTTATTTTTTATATTTCAAATGAAAATTCTACATAGGTAATTTTCGTAATGTCACCTTTTTTTCCATTTATGCTGTCAGCGGTCAGGCAGTTAGATATGTAAATTGCACTCGAGTTCGCTAAATGCGGGCTCTTCACCAATTAGGGCTAGGTTGAACACGGCCCTTCATACGCTAATGGACTTTTTATGTTTTCTGACGTTTTCCACATCACTACGTACATTTTTATTTTTCAAAAACCACACCCTATGACGTGACGACATAAATTAATTCAGAACTCTTCCCCCACAACCGTGCTCTGCTGTCTAAGCGTCTACTTAATTTGCTTATGGTAATACTTTTGATCCATACATACGTAGATACATTATGACTTTGTATCAGCTCTAAATCCATCTTTTGTGCGTGCGTTCATATTAACGAGCGTCATTGAGAACGATCACGGCTGAATGCACACAAGTTTGTCGACCCCACATCGCCTGACCCCTAAAGGAAGAGGGTTCTTATAATGTTAACAGCTAATAGCGCCGCACAGACAGATAAAACTTCACTTTTATCTCTGTCACGTTTCACAAACGAACTTTTGAACCCATTCACACATTCACCATTCTTAATTCTATTGATCCGTCGAATAGGCATTAATTTCTATTAAACAAAAACAATCGGGGCCAACAGAAGCCCACGAAAAGCCAACATTAGTATTCAGTCAGCGTGAGTTGACTTACTTAAGAATGGAAAGCTGTCAAAGGCAAAACATTTTATGTTTCCAGTGCAGTGATCCTAAGAGATCTGTGAGTATCTCAAATACAAAAGCAATAAGACTGTAACGTTCTCATTGGTTAAATTTCGTATAAAGCAGCGGTGCGATAGTTGTCGGGCGGGACGGACATTTTGATAAATTACTATTGGTACAATAACATTCATTCCGTTGGCTCGGTTCTCTTGTGTTTTTTTTTAATTTGACTAGTCATCACCGACCTCGCAGCTGAGTTCGATGAAAAACACGTTTTCCATTTCTACTTCACTGGATAAGACCTTTAACAGCGTCGAGTTTTTATTGAAGTTTGCGGATGTATTATAATAAATTTTAGTAGATTTCGAGCTCATTTTCCTATCGAAGTCGTTTATCCGCCCGATAGCATCGCAGTAGTGGGATGAAATGAAAAAGTTCGCGTGCCAGATGAGATAGGTTGTAACATAGCAATACAATAAAGTGCATCGAATGACGCCATGTGTGCCGGAGATCGGTTCGATAAGCGGGGAAGAGATGACTCACTAGTTTATGCCCGATGTAATAGCCCTCGCCACGCGATACGGGAATACGCGCTTTATAGTACTGTAATTATGTTCGGAGTTTTATCACTTTTAAAACCTTTATGTGCGTCGGAAAATGTAGTTACGGTTTTGATATGACACAGCGCACAATACATGCGCTTTCATCATAATTAATCTACTGTACCATTATCATCATGAATACGATGGCCGTTATGTCATATATTATGTTCTGTGAGATAATAAATCTGTTCCGTCGTATTAGCAAAGGACGGAACACTCATAAAGTCAATTATATGCACACGATTGTCTCACGGTTTGGAGATAACATCGAGTTACGCAGTAACTGTAAGGACACCGCAGATTAACATTGTCTTGTACTTAAGCCACATTAGGCCTCCACCATTTAGTGACATAATTCCACCGGCAGACATGGCGCTGAGTGTGTTATGCGCATATTAACCCGCATCTCGTCTCGAGTGGCGTGCTTCGGAGCGCGAAATTTATGTCGTTAATAAGGGCTAGGAGGGTTAATTAGCTGATTTATGTTGCCCATATTGCGGTGCGCACTCCGGATTATGACCCTCTGGCATTGACAGTTTAATAGCCTCTCCATATAACACGGCTATGAGTCGTCACGGAGAGCAATTACGATGAACAAAGATTCGGCAGTGATGCGTGACGAACCGGGATAGATTCGAAGAGATTTCTTGATTGAACGAGTAAGTGGGCGTCCGCAAAAACAGTGTTGAATTTTTGTTTAAGTATTTAGAGAACAACTTTTGCTGTACACGGATTAAGTAAAACGAATCGCGGTGAAACTGCGATGATCGCCGTCGATTTTTGCTCGTCGTGGAAGCAACATGCGCAATTAACTTGTTAAACAAAATAGCCGTATCATTTATTCAAGAGAATCTCGTCTTTCCTCTTTAGAGTTTTACAGATTGTTAAATAATAAATTTCTTCAATTAAATATACTATGTAGGTACGTATATTGCGCTGCCTGCAAAGTTTGTTTCAGATATAAACCTCGAAACGAAAAACTCTATATAGACGATCTGCGACATATCTATATCATAAAGCTGCCATCAAAAAGACCATCTCAATGGGGGAATTATCCAAATAGACCCGTCGCAGTACAATATCACGTATTTGCAGTGTGATATGACGCGACGCAGGACGTCAAGCAATAATACCACAATATGATCGCCTTGCGTGCCCTAAAAATGGCAATTTTGTGAACAAACAACCGTGGCCCCTAGGCACAGTCAGCCAAGCAGAACAGTTCATGAACCTCGGAACGTCGTGACATATGGATCCTAATCATCACTGGAATAAAGAGCAATAGATCTGGAAAAGACATTCCCCACAAAAAAACGAAATTAAGTGTTAGAAACTAACCATGTAGATATAATAA